AAAAAATATAAAAATTAATATTAATTTTAGTATTAAGTGAATTTAATTACATAATTGATAACTTAAAAATTAATTTTTATTATTTAAATATAAATTTATTATGAAAAAGTACATTTAATACATCTTCAAAATATAAATTAGATATATATTTAATTATAATGTTTTAAAATTATATTTATAAATTAATTTTAATTTATTAAATAATAAATATTTATAATTTTATTAATTATTAATTATTTTTTAATAATTAAATTATAATGATTTTAATAGCAGTAACCCAAATACCATAACCATGGCCTTGGATTTGGATTTGGATTTGGCGTTTCTTTCTCTATCTCTCCATCATATCTTTCGTCAGTCGTCCAGTCAAAAGGATACACTGTCACGACCCAACATTCAATTTCATAATCCCAAATTCCTTTGGATTTTATTGGCACAGCTTTCTAGGGAAACAAACAGCCAAAAAACACTAACTTTTCTGCTGCCTGCACACACGCTAGCTTGGCCGGCGGCCTCGAAGCCCATCCTCACCTTTGCTGTTCCCTTTTCCCCCATTTTCATCATTTTGTAAGGACGGCATAAACTTAACTCATGGGTAGGTAATAAATTTGGTTGGACTTTGCAATATTTATGGGTTTTTTTTCTAAAATGGAAACGGAAATTTCCAACCTATATCCTTCTAGTATAGGTTTAAAATATATTTTTATAATTAATTTTTATTTAAAAATAAAAAATAATTTTAATTTTATTAATTATTTTATTAAAATATATAATATTAGTGATAAAAATAAAAAACTACTTATAATTTTTATAAAAATTAAATATATAAAAATAAAAATTAATTCTCCTTTAAAATATATATTAAACAAACAAAAAAAAATTCATTCCATTTAGTAGTGGTACAAGAATTTCCATCATTCCCGTCTGAATTCTGCACTTTTTCTTTTTGTCTCTTTGATTTTTTATAATTTTTTTCCTGTCTTGAGAATAGAGACTTGGGATTGCTATTTTGTTCCCGTCTGAATCTAATAAATACTCTCATTTATGTCACCTGCATGTCCAGTTAAAACTTCATCATTCTTCACATTCATTTCTCATGAGGCTCTTCAAATTTACGAAAAGAATTCTTTATCTTTATAGGATTGTGCCGTGCAATTTGTCCTTTTAAATTTTATTTTAAAAATCATTTTGTGATTAATAATTTAA